TGCCCCCCCCTTTTTTTTTATTATTGGTTGCCATGCCCCCGAATTCGAAGCTGCATTTAGTGCTTTTTATGTACCTATCCAATCCAGTTAATGGGCTTCGCTCCACCCCTCTCGATTAGGAAACTACGGACGGTAGCGGGTTGAATTGACCCGAAGCGGCTTATTTCCTCCCTTCACGACAATGCAGCCATGATTATAGCGGGGGGTGATATTACTGCAACCATGATTACAGCCGGGGGGTGATATTTAGTTGGATCACGACTATGTGGGGGGAGGTTTAACACAATTAGAAACATCTTTAAAAAAAAAAGAAAAAAAAGAAAAAAAGAAAAAGAAACATCAATGTTATTCAAGAGTAGCAGGATTCATCTTCTTGTTTACCATACGAGGGACTTGCTAGTAGTAAATTTTGCAAAATGAGGACGAATCTTCCGCTAGAAAGTGGAAAGATACGCCGCACGACTTTTGTCTTTGGCGCATGTGGTGGGTGGTCGAGCGAGAGACCCAATGTATCTCGTCTTGCATCTTGACTGCAGCATTTTGTTTGTCGACGTCGACCTGGCTCTTGAAATCTAGGATGTTGTTTGTCCACGTCGACCTGGCTCTTGAAATCTAGGATGTTGTTTGTCGACGTCGACCTGGCCTCTTGAAATCTAGGGTGCATCTCGTGCGCCATGCCCCTACTTTTCGGTTTTACAGTATATGCCGTGCTCCGGATTCCAAGCTGCATTTATTAGTGTGCTTATGGGTCTCACCGCACCACTGACCAAATGCATGTACACTATGTCGGTGTATCTTTCCATGTTTTAGGGGGAGATTCGTTCTCATTTTCCACATTTTAATTGCTGAGTGGTGTGGCGAGTTTAAAGTCTGTATATCCAAATAAAGAGTAATTTCCTGTATTTCGTCTTGGACTTTAAAACTGAAAAATGCCAACGGGTTGTCTGTCGGACGTCGACCTTGCTCTTGAACCTCTGCTTTCTGTGTTCTTTTTTTTTTTTTTTTTTTTTTTGAAAGGTATATTTTTCTCTCAATTCCACCTTATTACACTACCTACCTACCACTACTCCTAAGGGCCTCGCCACACCAATGTCGAAACATCACGAAATTCGACATATGTCAGGAGATTTTCGACATTCCCTCTTTCGACAGAAAACCCCTCTTCGCCACACAGCATGTAGAAGTGAAGAACTCACAAGTCTTGTGCACAATAGAGAACAACTGGGGTGAAGATAGGACAAGCGTTGGTGCGTTCTCTTTTTCGACATTTGGGCAAGAATGCGACTTCGACATCCCATCGGAGGGAGTACTGTTGAAAATGCCCAAGTTGCAGGCCTGAAGTGGAAACGAGCCCGTCTCGAGAGAGAGGAGAGGTGTCGAAACCCTTTCCCTCACAGCTCCTGATTTTTTTTTGCATCTCGGATTTCGACATGCTGTGTGGCGAGGAGAAAATGTCGAAAAATATTCAGCTTTCGACATTTGTGTGGCGAGGCCCTAATTGTAGTCAGCGTACGGGGAACACCCCGTAGTCCCTGACGTCGTTTTCGTCCTTTTCGTCTCTCTTTTTGTTCTGAGTGATATTTTTGAAACGGAAGATCGTGTATATGTATCGTCAATTTCGAAATCACCACCTCTCCCTCCCTTGCTCCCAGCACCGCCACACTGATCGACTTGTGACTTCCATGTCTTCGTTCTGTGCATCTCGATCTTTTTTTTTTTTTTGATCTCTCTCCATTTCGCCCCTCTTTGTGAGCATCTTTCATATCTCCGTTCTCCTCGGCCACTCGTTCCCCCTCCTTCCATTGCATGCTATCTCTCTGTTTTTTTTTTTGTTTTTTTTTTTCTGGAATACCTTATTGTTCCACTGGCGCTGTTGCTGTTGTCCTCCCTAACGTTTTTCGTTGTGGACCTTCTCTCTCTTTGTTGTCTTCCGCTGTTGTCCTCTCTGTTTCTTCGCCTTGCTGTTGTCCTCTCGCGCTGCTTTCTGCCCGTGCCCGCTCATGTGGAGGTTCGGCGTACTCTGCAGTAGTACTGCCAACGTCTGTACTCGATCGGTCGT